AAGCTGAAAACACCAGCCTGAAGATGACGAATGAGACTTCGTCGAAACGTTGCCAAGACACTTCCAATTTTACGCGGGAGAAAACCCGAACAACCAAAGACCTACATACATACATACATACATACATACATACATACATACATACATACATATTTATATAAATAAAATTATAAATAAAATTATATAAATAAAAGATTAACAAGATGAGAGGGTTTTTTGTTTTTTTTGTTTTTTAGAAAAAAAGCACTGGTTATATGACAGAGATACCTAGCTGGTAGAGAGGGTGTGCAGAGTGGCTCAAGAAGTGTTTCTAGGTAGGGCTGAGAAATCAACTTGCAGCTCTAAATAAATAGCCCTATCTCAGTTGAATTTTTTTCCCCATAGTTCCAAGGGGGCCTCTCATCCAAATCAGCTTCATACAGAATGTCTTTCTTTTCTATTTTACACTTCAAAAAATCCACACTATTCTTTAGCTGTTTGATTTCTCCAGTAAGCTGATGAATCTTCTCACAAATGTCTTTTAGGAATCTATTAATTTTTAATTCTAGCTTTGCTTTCATTTGCTTGAATTGCTTGACGTGTTTCACTTGAATATTTTCCAGAACAGCTCTTAGGAATTGAGGTTACTCTTAAACTCTTCCTTCTTGCTTTTTCCTTATCACCATAACTCCCAAACTTTCCCCCTCCTATTTTCCCCACTGCAACAACCCTGTCAGGTGAATTGAGCTGAGAGTATATGGCCCAAGGTCACTTAGCTAGCTTTCATAGAGAAGGCAAGATTTGAATTTATGGTCTCCCAGTTTCCAGTCTGATATTTTAACCACTAAACTAAACCCATATGAATGATAAGGCTCAGTTTGTTAAAGTTAAATTAATTGTTTGCAGACAATTTTGCGATCCTTGTTGCCCTTTTGTGGTCAAATAGTAGCTCTAGAAATTTGTTCCATTAAATTATATCTTACTGGTACAAGCAATATTCTGTCTTGGCTCTCTCTTGTGCTCAAATATTCCATTAAAATCAAACAGCTTTAATTCTGATATTATTTTCTGTCCAATCAGAATTCTTTTTCTCCCACAACAAACTTCTTAAAATCACTAGTTATAAAAGTTTTTATTCAAAAACTTAAGGCAAAGTCAATGTAAAAGGAATAGACTCCTCAAAAAAGTTTAAGTCATTATGTTTCAAAAATGTGAAAATATTTTTAAGCTTCGTAATTCTGGTTCATCTCCATTATCTTTCCTCCCTGCCATTTTAAAGTCATGGAGCTTCTATAATGATGCAGTTTGAAAAAAAGAAGCAGGCTGCAGCCAAAAAAAGTCCCCTTTAAAGTAGAAAAAATCAACAAAATTAAATGTCTAAGAGATGGAATACACAATTTATTGTCCATTTTAAAAATAATTAAAAATCTTTGATTCTTCCATGGTAATCTTGCTTCTTGGTTGCCTGCCCGTAACTGAAGACTAACCGAGTCTCTTCATGCTGCTCCAAAGTTTTCCACAGGAACCCAGATACCCAGAGAATTGAGACAGGGTAGTTTCTTCTTCAGTTGCCAGGTGCCCATATTTTGATCACATGACTGTGGGGATGTTTCAACAGTTGTAAGTTTAAGGACCAGTTATAAGTAAGTCATTTTTCAGTGCTGTTGTAACTTCAAATAGTCACTAAAGAAATGGTTTAGGACAAAATGTATTTGCATCCAATTTGCTTAGTAAAATTGTCTCAATCTTATTCCTTTTTTAAAAGAATACCCTGCTCACCATGGATTTATTATTTTTTAAACTTTTATCAGTTTTTTTTCTAAAGAAAAGTTTACAGCTTCAGAACAGATTTTTTTTTTTTTTGCTAGGTTATAAGTGATAGGAATGGAGTCTAAAACATTGAGAATCTTTTCTTTAGTATATCTAGCCATGTCAGAGCAATTCCTTAAAGCTCTCCATTTCATTATGATGATTTTAAAATCCCTTCCATACCAAGGAGGCTAAGATTTAAGGGGTTTTCAACTTTCTGGTCCAAAAATCTAAGACTTTGGGGTTTTAAAAACTGATTAATATTGGCCTTTAAAGTTGTCTGTTATAAAATTTATTAGTTTATCAGAATATAAAATACAAAGAAAATTTAAAAAAAATGGAAAATTAGGGGAGAAAAAAGAGAAAGGAGAAAGAATGGACTAGAAGGGAAAAAAAGGTGTTGACTTTCGATAATAAAAGTAGAGCCTCAACTTTGTACTTTTAAGTAATAATTACTAGCCATTTCTAATCAGCACAAACCCATCTAATCAGCAAAATCAAAATTTCATTTTTTATCACAATCACAAAATCCAGAAGTGATTTGCAAATGGAAAGAAGATTAGGTTCTTTTTTTAAAATAAAGCAATCGATTTAACTGTCTCTACTTTTTTTCCTTTGCTGTGGGAAATAATATATATTTCTGTTTGTACTTATTAATCTTTATGAACTATCATTTATATTAACCAAATTTATTAACTCTCTCAGGTTCTTTAACTTTAAAGGAGAAAAACCTTTTGTTTAAACCCATTTTAAGACTCAAGACTTTTCTTTGAAAATATTTCTAAAATCAATAAATTTTAGTACATCATTTTTACTTCCTCCTAACTTTTATACCTTCAAATTCACTTTCAATAGAATTTACAAATTTTAAGAATTATTTAAGCATTGTATGTATAAAAAAATGTTCAAACCCACTATATAAACACAAAACTACATTAGAGCTTCCTTTCAATTACATATATCAGATTTGTAAAGAGCTGTCCTAACTCCAGTTGCTTCATTAACGTATCCTCAGAGAACAAAATTTTATGCTTCTCTGGAATGACTGTCAAATCTCTTTTTCTCAAAGAATTTTCATCCTTGTTAGTATCCATGAAGAAAAAGTCCCAAACTTGTCCTCTTGAGAGTTGTGGATTTATTTGGAACTCTTGTTTCAGTTGCGCTTGGAGGGTTGGATTTAATGCACCATCATAATAAAGATTGGTGTCATATTTGTATTCCATAATTGCAGATAAGTCACTTACATCAGAATTTCCCAACCTTTCCAGGTTGGCAGCCTGGAAAAGAAGAGGAAAAAAAAAGAGGAAAAGAAGGGATGGTTTTGTGGGAGGGGCAGGTATATGTGTGTGTCCATGAGTGTGTGCGCACACATACAGACCCACTTGTGCGAGTGTTGCCAATGTTTGTGGCCTCGCTCACATGAGCAGGGCCATGAGCCCTTGTGCAAGTGGGGCTGCAAGCACCCATGACACTCATGTTCTCATGGGGTTGCAAACACCCGCAACACTTGTGGCAAATGGGGCTGCAAACACCCATGATGCTCGTGGCAATGCTCGCGCAATGGGGCCACAAATGCCTGTGACACTCATAACAATGCTTGTGCAGGCAGGGCTACAAATGCTGGCGACCAATAGACAAGTTGGGGAGTCCTGCTTTACATTGTCAGGTTTTTGTGAAATTGTGTCAGTGGTTTGATACCTTTAACACATGATTGCACCTCTTGCTCTTCTTTTATATCATTTATAACATATCTTCCTTTATGACATCCTTAGAACATAATTGGTCTATAAAGGAATTAGTTTCTATAAAAATATGCTTATTTTTAACCATTTTCTTAGCTCCCTCTTGTGGTCAAAGAATATTTTTTTTATAAAGTAGTTATTGATTCCTAGCCAGAGTTCATAAAAATTGAAAAGTTTCAGTCACCCACAATAAAGCAATTCAAATCAACAGATTACTTAAGTATAGTAAAATAAAGTCACAGATTTCCATTATGTTTCTCCATCAAATTTTAAAAAAACCCCAATACTCCATACTTATTTTAGCATGCCTTCAGCAACCCTCTTCCTTGTTATAATAATAAAGTCTCAAAAATGGTGCATTTAGTCATAGTAGATTGTGACTAAAACAAGCCTCTTTTAGCTAATACAGATAATCCCATAAATTAAGAAATGAAAGGCACAAATTACTGTCTGTTTGAAAAATAAATTCCAAAATGGCTTCTTTTTCAACAATGAAGTGATTCAGCCCAACCCCCAGCTGTACGGCTTACCAGCTGCTCTGAAGCACAGTTCCTGAAGCTTTTTGCAGACGACTGCTATCTGGAGGATCTTCTGGGGTGATTCTAGGACTGTCCCTTACCAAGGAGAATCATATAAACTAAAGGAATGCCTTTTCTTCTGTTATTAAGTTGAAAAAAATACCATTCCAGAGAGACAAACCTCCCTGTGCATTTATCATCCGTCCACTATTGTCATAGGGAGCCCTTTAATATTTGCCATTAAGGTTGTCTGGATGTTCTGTTATTTCAGAGTCTCCTGCTTCAAACTCAAGATAACTGTACTTTCTTCCCATCAATCATATCAGTCAATCCTGAAACATTCTAAAGAAAGGGAGTGTATTTTGGTTAGCAAATATGCAAAAGTAGTTTGCAAAATAATATATTAGTATTATAATATTCAAAATCTGTAATAAAATGATTCTGCAATGTAATCACATACTCGCTTCTTAGAAGTAGGATTTGAAAGATGTCATAAAAAATGCCCTATCTTTCTTAGGCATAAATATATTTTAATTTATTGTAGCATCAGTAATCAAGCAGGGATTGTACTAAAGCAAAAACTTTAGATTTTGACAATTGGAGATTGTTATCTGTTTCAGAAACCTATCTATAGGCAAATATGTAGCAATCTGAAAACAGAAAAGCTAGCTTAGCATCTTACTTTCCCCATAGATTGCAGAGCAGTTATATTCAGTCATTTGGACTGTAACATTAGGCATCTGTTTAAGGCCAAATGGAATAGTGTGTACTTATATCATATAGCTTCCTGTTCATTATATGTTTTAATGTAAATTTTGTTGTGATTTATGGCTGACATTCAGTTGTTCGCTTATATATTGTTCTGTGATTATAATATTTTTGCCTTTTATTTGAATGCATCTACCCCAGCAAGCTAGGTACTTCATGATGTAATGTTTTCTTCTCTTAACAGAACAGTCCTGAGGAGGAGACCGAATTAAAGAAACTAAAAGTTTTGGAGAAATCAGTGGAACAGCTTGCTAAAAAAATAGATGAAGTAAATAAAGAACTTAGAGAGATTCAGAAAGTAAGTTACTTTACATTTCAATAGTTAATATATATTTGTAAAAGTCAGGGATAGATTTTTCAATTTAGAATCTGACAAAATCTAGCAAAATGTATGGTCAAAAGTATCTCTATATGAATATGAAAATGAATTTTCTTCAGAATGATTGCTACTGTATATAATATGTAGGGCTCTGGAGGTGTGACTCTGAGATATGTGCAGGTGTAACGCAGATCATGCATATTTTAGTCTAGAATTGTGATAGATTTAATCTAACTGAGATTTGGGAAGGCGCTCCCAGTGAGGGAAGAGTGATATATCTTTGATTATGAGTATTACTAACATTATAATAGAGCCTATATCTGAAAGTAACTCTCCCAATTAATGGTGCGGAATTGTAAGACTATGTGTGATCTGTTCATGTGATATTGGGGAAGGACTGTATAGGTTCAGAGTTGATGTAGAAGACAGCCAGCTTGCATAGCAGTAGAGAGAGAAGAAAATAGAGAATAGAAGCCTGCACATGAAGGAAGTTTGAGTATGTGATGTTGATGAACAAATGTAAGTCAGTGGTGTATCATGCTTACTGAGGTATATTAGTAAATTTCATTTATATTCATATGAGTCAGTGCTTTTCTCCATAGAAAGTTGGACACATATTGCCTGTTGTATACATGGAATTACAGAATTATGGATATTATAGGAACATAGCTCTTACAGCTGTAATAATAAAAATGCCTATTCCAATTAACTTATGAATAAGCATAATGTAAACAGTGTATTTTTCATATAGGATTTTCTTGCAAAGAATAATCAAACTGAAGCTCTTAGTCAGTTGGATAAGCGGATAAAGGGAATTGCTGAGCAGTTTATGAAAATTCTGGAACAAATAGATGCTATTGTAAGTAAATAATGACAACATATTGTGGTTAACTGAAAGAAATCTCAGTTCTTTAATTTGAAATGATGTTGATATCAGAGTTATTAAGCATGGTTAATCGTAATGGTCAACATAAGTAAATTTATAATAATCACTATAGTAATATAATACCTTGTCACAGAGATTACCAACCTTCAATAATCTAAGTAGTTCCACCATCCCAAGAAAATCTTCTGAATGTTAAAATACTTTTAAATCCACAAGATTTGTTGAACTTCATATCCAGATTTTTTGAAGTTTCGTGGAATGTCAAATTCTCATGAGATTTTGGCCATTTTATTTTATTTTATTTTATTTTATTTTCAATTGAATTCTTGGTGTTTATGGACATGATTTTGGAAGATAAGCCATGGCTTTATAGGTGTCTTATAACGAAATCTTGAGGTTTTAAATCACGGGTGTGAAACTCGATCACATCTCATGACGTATTGTGACTTTTTTGCCTTTGTGAAGTCAGGGTGGGCGTGCCCTGCGCGTATGCATCCGGCCTATGGGCCACCAGTTTGATACCCCTGCTTTAAATCATTAGTTGTAAAATCTCCCTTTTGAGAAAACTGCATTTTATTAGTTAAGTTTAATGTTGGCCATTTTTAATGCAGACTGTCAAGCCCTCAGAGGCTGGAAAGCTTAGGAAACAAGAATCCCTTAGATTTCTGGAAATATATTTATTGCTGGTAATATAACATTACGGAATTTTAAAAGCTAATCAAAACAATTCTCCTACATTCAACTGTAACTAGAGTGATTTTCTTTTTTTCCTCTTCTCTAGACTCAAACATCTTTTCTATAATGGCTTTGTTTCTTCCCTAAACTGTTTTGCTTCTCCCTCACTATTCCCAAACTCTGTATCTTTGATAACAAGACATCCATGGCATGACTCTACATGGTTGTACTCCAGATATAATCTTCATGTTGGAGCAGTGGCAACGTGACCTGATGGGGGATCTGTCAATATCCCCTTTTTCATGGTCAGTCCAAGCCCTGATGATTTTGAGATCCTCTTATACTGCCCCCCACTGTGAAGAGCACTAGACTTATTCATATGGTCTGTCTCGGTGACTGATGAATCCACTTGGGTTCCAAAGAGAGCTAGGGGAGATCCTAGAGACATTGCTATATGCTCTTGTGGAGGCTTTGGCTGCAACCTGGAATCAGAGAACATCTGAAGTTCTGAACAGAATTGTACTTATGTGCCTTCCCCTGGCACATCAGCCCCAACACTCTCGATGGTCCACAAGGAACTGAAAAGAGTTGATGACAGAAGCAACATTGGCATCTGGTCCCACCTTGGGGAAAGGTCTCAGACGATCATCTTCAGGGCCTCACAGAAGAGTTTGTGCAATACTTGATGGATAAAATCACTCAGATTCACTCTTGATTGGAGTCCAATGTGGTGTAATTCTAATTGAAATGCCCAGGGAATGGATTTACCCTATTATGTGGGAGCAGTTTGATGAAGTAGATAGGATCTTTGGGACTGTCAGTGCAATTACTTGCTTATTTGATCTCTGCCCCTCTTGATTATTGAAAACTTCCAGAACAGTGAATTCTGGGTGGGTGCAAGTAACAAGTAAAGCATCACTGCAGGAGGGGAAGTTCCTGACATCCTTTGAAGAGGCCATGGTATGTCTTTCCCTTAAGAAGCCATCATTAGACCCTACTGTACAGGTAGTCCTCGAGGTACGAACTTTATGCCCATTAGGCTCGTAAGTCAAAAAATTCATCAAATGAATCAGATTCAATTTTACAAATTTTTTAAATCAAATTCATTAATTGAATGAAATGGGTTGTTAAATGAACGAAGACCTGACTTACAATTTTCTCCGATTTGTTAATTGATCGCTGCCACGTTCAGTTCAGTTAATTGAACTGAGAGGCTTTCCTGCCGGCCGCCCATTAGCTATTTGGGGTGCAGCCAGTGCAGGAATTAAATTGCCTCAAGCTGGGCTTGCAGCCATTGCAATTGTTTTTTTGCTTTTTTTAAAAAAACAACTGCTGCTATTGTAGTTAGCTCAAGCATTTTCAACTGCCCAGAGCAAGTGCTTAAAAAACAACAATCACTTGCCACTAATTAGCTTAAGAGTTTCCAGCCAGGTACACAAAGAGAGATGGGGGAGGGATTTGCAGAACTCTCAGGTTGCAACAGTAATAGAGATGGAAGGGACCTTGAGGTCATCTAGTCTAACCCACTGTTCCCCTAATAAAGAATTTCTGATAAATGCCTATCCAGTCTCGGATGGCAAAATCAATATTCAAGAAACTCTACCGCCTTGAGATGCCATAAGATAAATTTTTATTGAATACACATCCCGGCACTGAAGAAGTAATATCAACTCTAAGTTTCCTGCACAAAATTCTGGTTAGTTACCAATAGCTTTTCATAACCCCTACTCACCATGTGTTCACATTGGCTACTTACGTTCTTTCTGATTGTTATGGGAATGGTCCACTTCTCTGCCAGACACCTGCTTTGGATGACCTTGGTTCTCACAGTCCATAGATGGCTTTCTGAAACATTTCTTTCCCAGACTATCTCTCCCCTCCTTTTCTATGGCAAGTTGAGCAGCTATAGAAGTTAGCAAGCATCATAACAATTCAACCTTGATACTCTTCTTAAAAGCTTCCAGTGATGGAGCACCCACAACTTCTGAAGGCAATTTAAATTTAAAACCTACAATCTACAGCAATATACGCTAATCTCTAAAATAAAAACAAGGAAACACAACATTGTGGAATACTTTGTATAGATCCTGGCTAGCATTCCTACAAGCAGTTTCAAGGAAAATGGAAACAAACTTTATCTTTGAAAATACTGTACTTACAAATACAATAGTTTGCAAATTACAGTATTTAAAAAGTAGAGCAGTTCCCAAAGTGCTTGCAGAAAGCAAGCACTATAGAATAACAAAAAAAAAATATTTTAAAATACTTACAGAAGCAGTCCTGAAGCCCAGACAGCAGCAGATTCTCCACGCAGCACCAAAAAAGAAAAACAAACTGGTGCCACTCAGTTCTTGTTTGGCCATGTGACCAGGGACCAAAACACCCCCCCCCAACTTCAGGAAATTGCATTCGTAACCCAACTGGCCCAGGCAAGTCACAGAGTTAAAAATGGCCACGACTTGCAGCAGTAACTGAATCCAAGTCACATGGCTACAGAGGCCTCTTTGCTTACAATTTTGAATTTCTAATGTAAGTACCCTTTCTGAATAAATTTGTTTTTGTAAAAACTTGCTAAATGAACATTCGTACTTGGGGGATTACTGTACTGGACAATTGTCATCCAGTTTTCCACCTTCCCTTTCTAGACAAGGTAATGGAAAAAGTGAGTATGTTGCAGCTCTAGAAGGTCTTGGATGACACAGATTACCTAGCTTCCTTTCAGTCAGGGTTCAAACCTGGTCATATGAAAGAAACAACATTGGTCATACTAGTTGATGATCTCTGCTGACAGTAGAATAGAGGCAGTCCATCCATTCTTGCTCTTCTTGACCTTTCTGCAGCTTTTGATACCATCAACCATGGTATCCTTTTGGACCAACTGCCAGATTTGGGACTGGGAGGTACAATGTTGCATCAATTTAGTTTCTTTCCCCATGACCGGTTACAATCTGGGTTAATAGATTGCTTCTTTGTGAGGTTCCACAGGGCATGGTATTCTCTCCACTCCTTTTTAGCTTCTACATGCTGGGTGAGATCATACAACACAATGGGATGTGATATCATCAATATGCTGATGATACTCAGCTTTACATCTTCACCCCTGGTACCCAAGGGATGCTGTAGCTGCCTTTCACAATACCTGGTGGCTGTGGGGGCCTGAATGGGGGACATCAGACTGCAACTGAGTCCTGGTAAAATATGTGGAGCCTCAGGATCCAGATGTTTATCATCTTTAGTTTGGGTGGAGTGGCACTATCCCAGATAGATCCAATCCACAGCTGAGAGTTTCTTCAATCTAGACTCATGACTCCTGCTCAAAGAGCCGAGGCAATCATAGCTAGGAGAGCCTTTGCACATCTCTGTGTTATGTGCCAATTATATCCTTTTCTGGATCATGAGATCCTGCACTCAGTCACTTATATCTTGGTCCTCTCCTGCTTGGATTATTGCAATGTGATGTATTTGGGGCCACTCTTGAAGCGTTCTTGGAAGGTATGATTGTCAAAAAGCACAGCGCAGGCAGTTTTAGATGATCCTAGGATGGCATTTGTAACACACTGTTATGTGAGCTGTACTGGCTGCCAATCTCCTTGCAGGTGCAATTCAAGATGTTGGTTGCTATCTTTTAAAGTCCTTTATGGCATGGGACCATGATTCCTGTGGAACTGTCTTTCTACCATGGTATCAGTTGCTCCACATGTGCTGACAGAAAGGGCCTACTATGGATCCCATAAACCACAGAATTTTGGTTGATGTGATCCAGGAGAAGAGCCTTTTCTGCCATGACTTTTGCTCTTTGGAACTTCTTATTACCTCGTCTCTTTTAAGCCTTCAGAAAAAGCCTTAAAACCTAACTATGTTGGCTTGGGGTCATGAGGGAGAAGCTGTTGGCTGGAGGTGGTTGGTACATTAACAAAGAAGGTATGCCCCCTCACCTCTAAGCCTATCATTTTAGTTTGTTTTAATTTTTGTAATTTTATAATGGTTTTCTATTTCTAATTGTTCGGATATTTGTATATTTTATCTTACTATAAGATTCTCAGTGTCATCTAGAATTTCAAGATGGGCAGCAAATAAAAGGTCTGAAACAATTCTTCACAGCCATATGACCCTGCCCATTTCACCCTGGATTTTCTAGCACGGCTGACCCACAACAGCCCTTTGTGCATGGCTGGTCCTCCACTGGTGATATACCTCCACCACAACTTTTCCGCTGCTTCTCCGAGGCTGCCTAATCATGGCTGATGCATCATGATCCAAGTCTTCATGACCAGTTCCCCCCATGGATGATTAAATGT